AGCTGGGGTGCTGCCAGGTTGGTCCCACAGCCCTGAGGGGAAGCGTTATGAACCAACCCGGCAGCACCCCAGCTGTTCTGCTCCCGGCTTCCCCGATTCAGCTGCTGGTCAGTTTCAGCAGCAGCTGAATGGGGGAAGCCTGTCTGGCTGCCCCAGCACTTCCGGGTTCCTGATGGTGCCGGACCATCAGGAGTCCCGGAGCATTGGATGCCGGACTAATGGAGTTTTACTGTATATAATGAAACAAGTGACCCTAAAGTAATTGGTCTATGCACCCTCAAGTCTAAATTCCACTGACTGGAAAGCAATCATGCAAGTAAGGGTGTGATTTTTTTTTCTGAGACCCCTGCTTTTTTTGTGGGGGGAGGGTATATAATATTTTCTCTTAACTTATGTTTAGCTGCCAAAATCACTCTGAGAGCTATCTTAAGTTTCCTTTTTAAATATCTAAAATGAGACAGTGTCCCCAATGACTGAATTGTTTTGAATTATTGTGATTAGTTTTTATATGAATTACTGTATTGTTTAGGAGTTATGGCCATGAACCATGTACTCATTGTGCTGATTGCTGTAAAACTAAAACAAAAACACTGTTCTTGTCCCAAAGAGCTTACAATCAAAGAATAAAATGAGGTGACAGGACAACAGACACAAATGGAGGGAGTAAAAGTAAAGTGACGTAGTACTGGTGAGCATGATAGGTTGTCAACAAAAATGATTAAGGGTTTGGAATGGGTGCCATATGAAGAAAGATTAAAAAGACTGTTCAGCTTAGAAAAGAGGAGACTAAGGGGGGTATGCTAGAAGTCTATAAAATCATGACAGGTATGGAGAAAGTGAATAAGAAAAAATTATTTACGTGTTCCCATAACATAAGAATTAGAGGTTACCAAATGAAATTAAGAGGTAGCAGGTTTAAAACAAACAGAAGGAGGTTTTTCTTCATGTAGCGCCCAGTCAACCTGTAGAACTCCTTGCCAGAGGATGTTGTGAAGCCTAGGACTTTAACAGGGTAGATAATTTCATGGAGATTAGGTCCATCAATATTTATTAGCCAGGATAGGTAGGAATGATGTTCTGTTTATCAGAGGCTAGAAATGGATGACAGGAGAGGGAATGATTACCTATTCTGTTCACTCCCTCTGGGGCATCTGGCATTGGCCACTTTCAGAAGACAGGATATTGGGCTAAATGGACCTTTATTCTGATCCAGTATGGTACTTCTTATGTTCCCTGCATACCAACATGATAAATATTATCAAGGTTTTTGTAGGTATCATAGCAAACTAGGGTTGTCAAGGAGGATAATGTTATTTTTGCAGATGCTTAAAGCTGAGGGAGAGCATAAAAGAAAGTACAAAAGTACTTATTTGAAAATTTAACAAATGGATGATTGACTGGCCCATAAAGTCAGAGTCTAAGATGGGAGTCAACATCTTGATAGTATATGAAAGATGATTGGATGGGAAAGTGAAGACAAGTAGTTAATTTAATAGAGAAGAAACAAGTAAGGTGATGCAAAGAGGGGTTATATGGTCAAAGCAATAGGCTAGGTCAGTTATCTATGTAGCACCATTCTACGGGAATATGAACAGGAGCAAGATTGTATTTATCAAGGCCAGAGAATCAGATGTTGCAATAATTGAGACATGATATGGTAAAAGCCTGGATTAGAGTTTGAGCTGTGGATGAATGGGAAAGGCCATGTCTTACAGATGTTAGACAGAAAGAATATAGACATAACCTGGATATCAGGACATAGGGGAAGGTCCAATCTGAAGATGGTGCTCAAGTTATGGGCTTGAGTGACAAATGGCATGGAGATGGTATCATATTGATTAAGAAAGGAGGTAGAGGGGCTAGCTTGATGGGGAAGATTAAGAGCTTCATTTTAGCTGTGTTGATCTTTAGCTATCAGGTAATGTCCACAAGAAGATATCAGAGAATGGTAGTACCAGGTTAATTTTCAAATGTTTTATAATGTTAGAGATTATTCTTATGATAACTGTGATTTGGCAAAAATACATAGGAGTCAAGTATAAGAAAGGGGCAGTAGTGTGTTTACTGTTTAATGAAGTTTTGTATACTGGATCTGTGAAGATACTTTTAAAACAGCAATGAAATCTTGAATTGTGGTTGTGAGACTTGAAAGAAAAATTTCAAAGCAGATGTTAAACAGTTATTTTCCAGCATGATGGCTTTCAGACATTTAAAAATATGATCCCTGCTGAAGAGGATTTACAGTCTAAGTATTAAAAACAAGAAACCTTCCTGTATACCAATGATCCTGAATTGATGACACAAGATTTTTTTAGCTGTTGTAGAATAAAAGCGGGCTATGACAATTTTAACCATGACAAAAATTGCCAATAGCAGTTTCAGAATAATGTGTAGGGTGTTGTAGAATAAAAGCGGGCTATGACAAAAATTTTAACCATGACAAAAATTGCCACTAGCAGTTTCAGAATAATGTGTAGGGGTTTTTTCTAGTTTTTGGATTAATTTCACTGTGAAGTGTAATGCTTAAATACCTTGAAATAATATTTGAGTTTGAGATTTGTACTTTTATTTCAGGTTTGCAGATTTTATCAGGGGCATGCTGAAACTTATTCTTCTGCTTCTGCTATTTGGCGCAACACTGTCATCCACTTGGTTCACTCTCACCTGCCTTACTAGTGTCACTCACCTGCCTTTAACCACAGGTACCTAGAACAATGTCTAACTGTAAAATAGATTGTTTATTGTTCGTTAGGACTGTTCTATAAACATCTGATATTGTAGACAAATATTTGCCATCTTAATTAAACTTTTTATTATACCTGTTTTGAGACACCAGTCCTGATGATAAATACATTAAGCTTTTGTAATTTGCAGATGGAGTCTTGTAACTGGAATGGGTTTCATGGTAAGCCATCCTGATGGGTAAACTGAAAGGAGCCAGGTTAATTTGAGGGGAAGGTAGAGAAGCAGATTTAACAGCATTTTGTAATTTTGGTCCCCTTTGTATACCACAAAGTGCATTAGTAATAATGGCATTGAAGTTGAAAAGTGCTTTGAGTCTAATTTTGAATGAAGCATCAACTTGTGCAAATTCAAGCATCAGTACACAAATATGATAGATCCCATCTCTGTGCATGCCTCTGGTTGAATTTTTGTGGGCAAAATGTGTTGGCTTACGCATACCAGAAATAGTTCATATATACATAGAAAAGTACACAAGTGGAGGCCATATATAACCTGACCGTCTCCAATCCTCATTGTATACTTGTGGTCTGGAGTAGGAATGTGACTGGTTAACTGGTAAGCATCACCCTTACTGGATGATGCGTTCTGGTTAACAGGAAGCCTGGCTGAGCTGGAGCAGCTCCCTGTTTGCCTGCAGTGTGGTGGGCCCAGCAGACACAGCCCCCAACTTCAGTGGGAGTTGCTTCAGCCTGGCTGGTCCACCACACTATGCTGCAAGTGGGGAGCACTCCAGCCCAATTGCAGCAGTCCCTACCCATGGCAACCTGGCCTGACCAGAGCAGCCCCTGCCTGCCCAGCTGAAGTGGTTAACCTGATGAATCTAACATTTAACGGTTAACTAATTAAACGATCAGTCTAATTCACAGATAAGGAAAATTGCTTCAACTGGTGGTAACTTCACCAGTGTCCAGAGTATACAGCAATCGTGGGCAATCTGCATTGGGGTTCTATGTGTGGTGTACGAGACATTTTGTTTACTGTTGGGTATGCGCAGGTTTGCCAGATTTCACTGGTTTCCATCTGCAAAGTTTTTTTCCTACTGGTGTTAAGTGACATGCACAAAAAGCAAGGTCACATGAAATTTGGTGTGTATGGACTCCATGCAATATTGACTGAGAGAGCCATGTGCCTTCTCAGTATCTAGTCTAAGTGCTACTATGGTTCAGTTGGCACACCCTGCAAATTCTAGGTATGCAAGCGCAGTTAGCAAAACTACTTTATTTCGGGAGACTGTCTCGGTTACAACAGTCTTGCGACCCCCTGAGATAGAAGGCCAATTATGCAGCCCCCTCGCTAGCCTAGGTTGCCCATTGCTGATTTATAGAGCCCTTCATAGATACAAAATTTATATCCACATTTGTATCTGCAAAAATGAGCTGCAGATATCCACATTAATATTTGCTAATTTGCAGGTTTCTAGATACAAAATTTGTGTATGCATCCATGTCCACAAAAATGAGCTGCAGATATCTGGATTTGCAGAGGTCTATTTATTTAACTAATATAAAATAAATGCAATATGCCTGCTTAATTTAGGTCTTTTGTATATTAAATATCAGTGACACATCTTTATAAAATACATTCTCATGGATGAAAATGCACAAGCTATTTAAAGTAATAATTTATAGGGCTTCATGCTACATTATTCCTAACTGTAATTATGCAATATGGTTATGACCTCTGTGCTTCACAGTAAGTGGGATAAACTGCTTATTTAAATAGGTTTGGTTGAAGTTTTTTGTTTAATTAAAAGTTTGAGGGTATAGAATATAACTGAGCCAAAGTATAGAAGGTCAAATGCAAGCCACTGCCTAGTGGCACTTGGGCTTAAGAGAAGAATTGTGATATTGCTATTTAACATGGAAGCATCTCTGGGTACTCAGTCAGTGGAGCAACACTGACCTTGGAGGTCAAGGATGTGATTTGAACTTTTTTGTATTTGGAAGAAGATGAACACTATGTATAACTGAAACAATTTATCTTAAGAATTTTTGTAGCAATTACTATGTAGTGTTTTATTTCTTCTAGATACTTTGGGTTCATTAACTAATCTTCACAACAGCACTGGGAAGCAAGCATTGTTATTCCTATATTAGTGTGAGGATTCTAAGGCATAGAGATCAAGGTCCAAAAATAATTGTCTCAGAAACTAGCATAAAAGGTACGTGTAGTGGAGTTCTTTGCTCCCTACACAGGTTTCTCTTTCAAGATTTGTGTGTTCATTTCCACTCCACTCACTTCTCAGGGAGCTTCAGTGGTGTCAAGTTTCTTTTCTTGGATGCTCCATCTGCCCATTAGTATCTGCAGACATCTTTCATCTGAGCTAGAGTTGGGCAATTTTCATTGGGAGGCCACATAATGAATGTTGGTATGAGGTCACGGGTTGGCTCCACCCCTGAAAGGGGCAGGACTTGGGTGGAAGGCGTGGGGCTGAGAACTAGCCTCCCCACAGGGTTGTCTGGGCTGGAGTCTTTGATGTTAAAAATACAGCAAAGGGCTCACGGCTCCCAGCCCTGCATTGCTTGGCAGCCTCCAAATTTTTCTGAATGTTCCACTTAAACTGTCCTTGCTGCCCGCTGCTTATTGTCCTATCCTCAGAGGCTAAGGAGAAATTTTTTTCTCCCCTCTCTCTCTAAAGCCTTTCATGTACTTATAATCATAGGGTTGGAAGAGGCCTCAGGAGGTCATTGAGTCCAACACCTTGCTCAAAGCAAGACCAACCCCAACTAAATCATCCCAGCCAGGACTTTGTCAAGCTGGGACTTAAAAAATCTCTTGATGGAGATTCAACCACCTCCCTAGGTAACCCATTTCAGTGCTTCATCAGCCTTCTAGTGAAATAGTTTTTTTCCTAATATCCCTCCTAGACCTCCTCTACTGCAGCTTGAGACCATCACTCTTTGTTCTGTCATCTGTCACCACTGAGAACAGCCTCTCTCCATCTCCTTTAGAATCCTCCTTCAGGTAGTTGAAAGCTGCCATCAAATCCCCCCTCACTCTTCGCTTCTGCAGACTAAACAGACCCAAGTCCCTCAGTCTTTCCTCATAAGTCATGTGCTCCAGCCCCCTAATCACTTTTGGTGCCCTCTGATGGATTTCTCCAATGCATCCACATCTTTTCTGTAATGGGAGTCCCAGAATTGGATGCAATACTCCAGATGTGGCCTCATCAATGCCGAATAAAGGGGAATAATAACTTCTCTAGATCTGCTAGCAGTGATTCTCCCAATGCACCCTAAAATGCCATTAATCTTCATGGCTACCAGGGCACACTGTTGACTCATAGCCAGCTTCTCATCCACTGTAATCCCAAGGTCTTTTTCTGCCAAACTGTTGCTTAGCCAGTCAATCCCCAATCTGTAACAGTGCTTGGGATTCTTCCATCCCAAGTGCAGGACTCTGCACTTCTCCTTGTTGAACCACATCAGATTTCTTTTATCCCAATCCTCTAATTTGTCTAGGTCACTCTGGACTCTCTCCCTACCCTCCAATTTATCTACCTCTCCCCCTATCTTCGTGTCATCTACAAACTTGCTGAGGTGCAATCTGTCCCCTCATCCAGGTCATTGTTAAAGATGTTGAACAAAACCAGCCCCAGAACCAACCTCTGGGTCACTCTGCTTGATGCTGACCACCAACCAGACATCGAGCCATTGATCACTTGGGATTACAGTGGACCCATGGAGTCCAACAATCTAGACCGCTTTCTATCCACCTTATCTAATCCATACTTCCTTAACTTGCTGGCAAGAACACTGTTGGAGACCGTATCAAAAGCTTTGCTAAAGTCAAGATCTATCATGTCCACCACCTTCTCCCATCCACAGAGCCAGTTACCTTGTCATAGAAGGCAATCAGGTTGGTCAGGCATGACTTGTTCTTGGTGAATCCATGTTGTCTATTCCTGATCACTTCCCCCCTTTCAAGTACTCCAAAATGGATTCCTTGAGGATCCCCTCCATGATTTTTCTGGGGACTGAGGTGCAGATGACTGGTTTGTAGTTCCCTGGATTGTCATCCTTTCCTTTTTTTTTTTTTTAAAGATGGGCACTACTGTTGCCTTTTTCCAAGCCTCCGGGACCTCTCCCAATCGCCACAAGTTTTCAAAGATAATGGCCAATGGCTCTTCAGTCACTTTAGCCAATTCCCTCAGGCCCCCTTGGATGCATTAGATCTGGCCCCATGGGTATGTGTATGTCCAACTTTTCTAAATAGTTTTTAACCTGTTCTTTCTCCATTAAGGGCTGCCCACCTCTTTCCCCATACTGTGTTGCCTAGTGCAGTAGTCTGGGAGCTGACCTTGACTGTGAAGACAGAGGCAAAAAAAGCATTGAGTTACTTCACCTTTTCCCACATCATTTGTCACTAGGTTACTTCCCTCATCCAGTAAGGGTGCCATATCTTCCCTGACCACTCTCATATTACTAACATGCCTGTAGAAACCTTTATTACCCTTCACATCCCTTGCTAGTTGTAAGTCCAGTTGCGCTTTGGCCTTCCTGATTACACCCCTGCATGCTTGAGCAATATATTTATACTCTTCCCTTGTCATCTATCTAAGTTTATACTTCCTTTTTGTCTTTAGGCTTACCAAGGATTTAACTGCTAAGCTAAGCTGGTTTCCCACCTTATTTGTTTTTCTTACTGCGTATTGGGATGGTTTGTTCTTCGAGTAGCATCCCCGTGGGTGCTCCACTGTAGGTGTCAGGTGATCAGCGCTGCAGATCGAAGACGTTCAACAGCCGAAGTCAGCCAGACAAACCGGGAATGTCCAGCACTGTCTCTATAGCCACAAAGTGCCAAACCCTCCATCCTGGAATCTGGACTTGGTGCTGGACACACTAACGCGTCCTCCCTTCAAGCCTTTGGCCATGACGCCACTCCACATGTTAATGCTTAAATTGGTCTTTTTGCTGGCCATAACATCAGCCCGCAGAGTCAGCGAACTCACAGCCCT